CCCTGAAAAGAAAACGTTTTTTTTTTCCAAGCAACTGTATTTAAAAACAGAAATAGCAAAACAGAAGATAGGAAGACAGACTGAGAGCTGATGTGAAGATAGACTGTTTCACCCAGCAAGTCTGTAGTCAAAAACCTCACCAGAGATGTGGAAGACCTAGTGTCAGTTCTCTCCCTTCCTGATCTGATCTGAACCCAGATCCTCCACCCAAGAAAGCTACAGGGTATGCTGAGGTTAGGTAACACCAGTCTTCTTCTGCGGTTTCACTTGGGTAAAGTAGCTGAACAGTCACATAAACCCCCTTTGGAGGGAAAAGGAATCGAGTATAATTTGACAGATAATTTTGGAAGGACCCAAAACTGCATTTTTCTACACATTCAGTACTGGGGCTGGGAATTCACCCAGCTCCAATTTTCAGTATGATTTTGGTGGTTCCCTGGGAACAGCTGTACTGCCATTTCAGTGGTCTGTGGTGATAACATCTTTCGATGGCCTCGATTGGCCTAGTATAAGAGGAGATAATAGAGCACACTACATTTTGTAGGCTTTCTTTAACACTTCTTGTTACTTCTGACAAGGGTTCATTGTGTCCCATCAAAACTAAATTTTGTGAATTAATTACATTCATAAAATGAGATTAGCTTCAAGGCCAGTTCATGTGTACACAGTAACTTTTAACAACACAAGCAACATAACACTTTTCATTTAGCAACTGATAATTCTGCAATGCACTGGAAATACAAAGCACTATATAAAACGCAAGTAACAGTTTGAAGGGTAAACAGTATCTTATAGTCCAAGTTATAATGTCTCAGGTTATAATGCTATTTATTTAACACTAATTTTTGCCACACACACTTTTGTTTGTTCACTTCCAGTACCAAACTTTTCTTACATAAAAGGTATGATTTTACCATCCTCAGAAGGGTCTTTTTTATAAGTCTTGTTACCAAAAGAAAAGGTCAAATCCGGATGTCTATTATAAGGCATTACTCTTTATTGCAAAATTCATGCTGGCACCTACAGCCCAGTGTTATATCACCATCTCACTACTCAGATTATTTGTGATATTTAACATGCAATTCATCTGAAGCTGTAGTTTATTTTATTTGCAATGATTGTCTTTCAAAATAACTATATATAAGATACCTTGTCAAGGATCTCCTGATATAAAAATATCTTGGACTTTCAGTTCAGCCTGAAATATTTGCTGCTCCGATTTGCTTCTTAAAGTAAATGTGATTTTATTGTCTTGCATACCAACATGGTAAGCAGGCAGAACGGGAGAGTGCAGGAAAGCCTGTCTTCTAAGCATGCTGACAGTAATAGAGCTATCTAAAACTGCCAGAAAGTATACTGACAAGAATAAAGAATAGTTCACATTGGTTTGATTTTGAACAAAATTAACTGTGCACTGGAAGCAGAAGAAAGAATATGTACCATTCCATCTATATCGAAATTCCATTCTGCAAAGAAAAAGGCTCCACTGCCAGCTGATTTGGACCTGATGAGAGAACTCTGCATCAGGAGTTCATAGACTTTTCCTTTTTTCCTGAACCAACTACTGATTGATTTCCTTTCCTACTCTTCTTCTGTCCTGGCTTTTAAAATAGTTTTCATTCATTATGAGAGTAATTCCTTACTGTATCAATACCCTAACCCTAACCCAAAGCATCTAGAATTAGCTGGGACTAAAGTAACACAAGTAATTTTTACTTACAAAAAAACCCCAGTCTAATCATTAACCCCAATGTTTATAGCATATGATCTCCCTGATGCCTTCAGTTTTAATTGTGTGATAGGGAATCCAAAATGCCTATCCAGATTATGAAGAAACACAGGCATATTCTTTTTAATGATTACGGAGGTTCAGTAAACAACCTGTTTATAATGCTGTCATCCTAACACTCAGAAATGCTTGTCCAAGTCATACTAGACCAGAGGGAGCAACTTTCTAAGACAAGAAAACACTCTAAAATTATTCAAAGTGACATTTGTGACATTATAGGGTCTAATGACATTTCCAGTCTTTCCTTAGTTAAGATAAGCAGGTACAAAAGAATGCAACAACGTTGCTTCATGTATCATCTTAATGGAGCAGAAAGAACAGATTGGCACTTAATGTCTCGGCCATTCACAAGCAGATGAGTACCTCCTTGCTCATGAGCAGTCAGGCTTTTTCCAGCTATTTTTACATTTCTGTGTTTTAGCTTAGCAGGATGATTATTCCTGGGACTCTTTTAAAGTGCAATAATGATGTTTAACTTCCTTTGTGCATTTTTACATCTCTGCTGGGAGTCTGTAAACTGAGAATGGTAAAGGCCGTTTGACAATTTCTCATTTCTCTAGGTCAAATGCAACCCTGGAAGAAAATTGTTGCAATTTTCCTTTTCCTCTTTATGTGAATACCTTTGCAGCCTGGACAATAAAAAGATTCTGAAATAACTCACAATTAGAGAATGCTCCGTTCTTAATCAGGCCTGAAAACCTTTCTGAAAGAAAACTCATTAAGTTGCACCAAACAATAGATAAGTTTTGCACAGCTGTTTTCTAAGGACCTGGAGGCCATGTGAGTTACTTCCTAAATCATAAGGTACCACCAGCAGAGCTGCAGCACCTTCAGACAGCAATATCCTGCTCACAATTACACTTAAGAAAATGACTATCACAAGTGAAAAGCATTAGAAATGACTGAAATGCTTCTCAGACAGTCTTGTTTAATTACAGCATTTGTTTGGCCAGTATGTAACAGCCTGCTGACAGCACTTCAGCACAGCATCCTCTCTTCAAAGACTGGAGTTGAGCACTGGTGTGTTTGCATCTATCACTGCCTTGACAAACATAGTGACATTCATGTGGCCCCTTAAATTGTGTAAAATAGAATATGGAAATGGTGGTGGGCAAGAAGCCTTCTGCACTCACAGCACAGATGAATGGAAGACTCACTCCTACAGCAAGAACAGCCCAAGTACATTCCTGCAGCATCCCTCAGCTTAGAGACTGCAATGTTCTAACGTGAGTGGACACATGGGCAGGAGAAATGTTATTAATTATCCTTTCAAGATTACCAATAGCATAGGATGCACTATATCTATTTGCCATATGCTCTGTCACTGTGCCACTTACCAATTTGCAGCTCTGGGTACATTTCATACAGACACCAGTTGACATTGCCGTCGCAGTGGGTTTTCTCAAAGAGATTGTCTAAAACATCCCGTGTCACCTGACGCTCATCCACCATTAGTGACTTTGTGCTGTTATCGTACATGTGCACCTTGACAACAAGCTGAGTACAGAGTCACAGAAGAGTCAGTTAATTTCAGAAGCAAGTAAAAGGCTAGTCTGGATCTGCTAACACAGATAAGAAAGATTAAGGCTGAAGGTTATTACTGATTCAAAGGCACCCTGTCCCACAGTGAGACGAGGGAATAAAACAGCTTAGAAACTTTCACACTATATTGCCACCAAAATAAAGACCTTTTCTCAAAAAAGGAAATTGAACCTTGTCCTGTGCATGACTTCAGAAAAGGTGAAATTGCTATGGAGAAAAAGCAGAAGTTAATCTCTTCTCTAAATCTACTGGATGTGCAATTAAGGAAAATGCTTGATAGGGAAACCCAGTAAAAAAGGACAAAGTGTCCTTAATACAAGCTAGAAATGTGGGAAGTTTAATTTTAAATGAGAAAAAGAATGGAAGAATCTTGCCATGCCAACAGACTGACCTGAAATCAGATTATACTAAGATGGGGAGTAGTCCAACACCCATCAATAAACACACGGATGAGTTACATATAGTAACCAAATTAACATAAGACACTCGTTATTTCTTCATATTGTGAAGATGAGAAACAGTGTGCACTTTTTTCAGAGAGGAACAATGCAAGAAAATGCTGAAGTACATAAAATGTGATCACTGCAAATACATTATAAGGGAAGCACTTAAAATGCTCCATTAGTACTGAAAACAGAAGAAAATTTGTCTACAACTTAGGACAACCTACAGCCCATCGTCCAGGACCCCGTTCAGATGGCTTTTGAGTATCTCCAAGGAGGGAGACTCCACAACCTCCCTGGCTAATCTGTGTCACTGCTCAGCCACTGTCACAGTGGAAAAGTGTTTCCTGCTGTTCAGATAGAATCTCCTGTGCTTCAGTTTGTGCCCATTGCCACTGGTCCTGTCACTGGGCACCACTGAAAAGAGCCTGGCTCCATCCTCTTTGCACGCTCCTTTCAGATATTTCTGTAGATTGACAAGACCCCCCTGAAGCCTTCTCTTTTCTAGGCTATGCAGTCTCAGCTGTCTCAGCCTTTCCTCATAGGAGTGACGCTCCAGTTCCTTAATCATCTTTGTATCCCTTCGTTCACTGGGGTGGAACTCTCTTGAGCTTGGAGCTTTCTTGGGCCCCTCTTCCCTCCAGGACCTTATCCCATGGGACTCTTCCAAGCAGATCTTTGAAGAAGCCAAAGTCTGCTCTCCTGAAGTCCAGGGCTGCGATCTTGCTTTTCACCATCCTTCCTGGCTTCTGCCTTCCGCTCTTGGTAAAACACAGACCAATTTTCTTGACAACTATTTAGTCAGTTTACAATTCAAGACTGATGTAGTAATTTCATTACAGTGACACAGCCACATGAAGATTAAGCCTTACTTCTACCCTATGGTTCCAAATACTCAGGGTGGAAAAAAAAAGTGGGAAAAAAAGTCTTCAAAATAAATGTTTCCTCCCAAAGGAGAAATGCTAACATTGCAAGGAAAAGAGGGTGACCAATGAGCAGTCATATGTTTAGCTACAGAGCTTCCCAAAGACAACATTGGTGAAATCCTCCCAATGCATTCTCTCCGAAACAGCATTCGTACGTGAACATGTTCTGTGGGAACTGTCTCAAGTCTGGACATCCCCAAGTTTATTGGAAGCTTCAATTCTTCTTCAAATCCTTGCAGACTCTGATCTCCAGCACTTCCCATCTCCTATTTGAGCAAGACTGAAAGGTCATGACTACTTTTATTTCACATCCATTTTTCAGGGTTACTGAACATGTGCAGCTTCTGTTGAGTTCAGCTGGAACACTGGCTTAGGGTGAGTGGCCATAATTACATGACAAACTGCAGCACTGTGCAGACACTGGCTGGAAGCTTTCTAATTTGTTGGTGTAAAATAATTTCTATTATCCTTGTACATTACTACACTGCTGTGAAAAGATTTAGCAAGAAGACCCTCATTAATTTAATTGTGATTAGTTCAATCCACATCCACTGTAGTTTAATACTTCTGTAATCAGCACAGCATAAGTAAGCAACATTTTTATGTACATTCCACTTTCTCTAAAGCAACCTATCAGAACAGTGGGCTCTGCCCCAACATTGGAAAAAAAAAAAAGAGGCAGAGCCTTCCAAGTCCTCTTAAAAATAAATCCCTCAGAGGTAGCATTCTCCCAGAGACTACTCTTCAGGTAGATGACAAGACAGTTCCACAGAATATCTTTAGATGTCTCAAGTTACAGACAAAATAGGAAAAAGCCTAGCAGTTTTAGTAAGAACTTTATTATTGAGAAGAATGATAAGAGATACTTAGCTGGTAGCTCTTATGGTAGCATTTCACTATCTCAAGTCTCACCTTTTTAACTTTGGCTTCCTTCAGTTTCTCCAATGCAAGTTTAATCTTGTCAGCTTTAGCCTGTGCCTCTCGTTCTTCCTGAAAAGACACAAGGTATTTGGTATACTTCTTGTTAGGTAAGGCAAACAATTTATGCTTACTTGAAAAGAGCTGTTTCTTGTTATTTATATCCAGAAGATAAGGCTTGTCACAGGAAACTTCATAGTTACAGGGAATCCCCAGCTTTCCTTGAGTTAATATCCTCCAGCCAAAGCTCTGATTTACAAACATTCTGTAGTTGAACAGAAGCTGTTCGACAAATGTGGCTTTTGCAGTAAGGCTGACTGTTCTACAGAGGGAAGAGCACACAGTCTCTCACACTATGGCCCTCCCCTTACCATCTCAAAACACCTCTCTGCAGGAAGCAGGAAAAGCATCTTAACCGAAGTGGTTGAGTGTGGTGCGGGCAGGCTTTCTGCTGACAATTTAAGGCAGGTATAACTCAGGCTTCACCTGCATGTGACCTGTGTTGAACAGAGTTCACACCTTGTACAAACCTGTGCAACAGATTTCACGTTTTCATAACCTTTGTCTGTCTTAATATAGAAAAAGGAAATTATGCAAAGTAAATAAGCGATCAGATGCAAAATTTTAGCACTGCTAGAGAAATGCTTTGACAGGCTAAAAGATTTGTTTTCCCACTACATTATCATCACTATGTTTTCTGGATCTTCAGACAGAAGCATATAAAAGTCATCCAGATAATGTCATAGAAAATGTGGAAGCCTTATTTAGCTTAAGGACAGTTTTAAAAAGAAATGTTAGAGTTGATGGAAACTTATGAGACAGCTCTATGCTCCCCCAACAGAAATGCTGTACTTCTTAATTTTGGCACACTTAAAGGCTAGAGAATAGAGTCTTAGTATCACAGGTGCATTGGAGATAATTAACACCATTCTTATTTGACTACAGACAACCAGAAGTGTTAAACAAAATGTCAGCCTCGATTGGCTCAAGAATCACTTATCAAGAATCCTGGCTAATAGGAACAGGGATTTTCATGAAACAAAATACATTCCATTTACAGATGCATTTCATTCTACCGAGTAGAAATGTCATGTCAAAGCAAACACTAACAAAGACAGTGGATACTAATTTGAAATCAGTTCTTTCCATATTTATTTTAAATGGTTATTACCTCCATCATTCACACTGCAACTTGTGTAATAGCCCTATAGGCAATTTTGTGGACAGTAAGCCACACAATGGGTATGCCATCAGTACTTGAATACAACCTGTATCAGAAAATGAGGCAAGGGCTGCAGGAGAAAGCAGAACCAGTGCCTTAATGAGGAAATGAACTACTGCAAACAGATTCGTTAGAAATGCCTCTACCTCCTGTTCCCATCCTTCTCTGCCCTCTCCCTCTGTCTGGAAAGAGACCAGAGTACTAGAGATTTAACTAAGCACACAGTCTCAGACTAACACTTTAATTGAGGGAGACAGAAGTGACTTCCAGCTATGGTTTTGCATATAGAATTCCAGTTGTGTCTAGCAAGTATATCCTCTTTTCACTCTGAAATCTTGTTCAACCCTCAGGTAATGCGGGATGCCAGCTAACAGAGAATTAGCTCAGTTTAAGACCCAAGAGAAAGAACTGTGCAGCACTGTGGCTTTCAGTGAGCTTTAGATCACAGCATCATAAAAGCGCTGGTTGAAAGAGAGGTCTGGAGGTCCGCAGTCTGGCTCCCTGCCCAAAGCAGGACTGTCACCAACATTAGATCAGGTCAGCCATGGCTTTGCCTGGCAAAGTTTGGAGAATCTCTAAAGAAAGAGAATCTGTGATCTCTCTGGGTCACCTGTTCCAGTGCTACACCACTGCCTGAAATGGAAAAGGTTTTCTTAATGTCTTGTCTGAAACTACAAAGCTGCAACATGTTGCTGTTTGTCCCTTGTTATATGACCTAACACTACCATGGAAGATTTTGGCTCTACCAGCTTTTGTGGCTACCCCTCGTGTATTTTTAGGCTGTCATTATATCACTCCCCAGCCTCATCTGTCAGACTAAACAAGTCCAGCTCCCTCAGCTTGTCCCCACTGACCCTTGATCACTCCATGCCCCTGGCCATCCTCGTAGCTCTCTGCTGGACACTCGCCAGTATGTCCACATGCAGAACAGGATGCAGTATTCCAGGTGTGGCCTCACCAGCACCAAGAGAAAGGAATAATGGCTCCCTCAGTCTGCTGGCCATGATCCTTCCAGCACAGACCAGTTTCCCATACTGAGATGACCTTGGACTGAAGGTTCTTAGTGTGGCATCCTTCAGAATGCCACCTCCTTTTCAGCAGGGCTGCTGCTCAGCCTGTCACCTGCCAGACTGTACAAATGCATGGGGTTAATCCACCCTAGGTGCAGGACCTTGTACCTTGCTGGGTTTCTGAGGATTTTGCTGGTCCAGTCTTCACATTTTATAAGGTCCCCCTGCACTGAAGTTCTGCCATTCATCTTGTCAGTCAGTGCCCTTAATTAAAAGCATCTTCAGCACATCTGCAGATGATTTTTTATGTCATCACTCAGGTCACAGATGAAAAACTTCAAGAATACAAGTGCCAGTGTTGATCCCACTTGTTACCAGCCAGCAAACCATTGATTACTACCCCTTGAGCCTGGCAGTTTGGCCAATCTCAGCCCACCTAACCAGCTACCCTTCCAGACCATACTTCCTCAGCTTCCAAACCAGACTATTTAGAAGGCTGGTACTTCCTTAAAGGTCACGAGTCTAAATCAAGATGGGAACATGTTTGTAGGACAATGGATAGAACTTATCTTGATAGCACCTCTCCTATATCAATTATGCAAGCTAAATAAAAGATTCAGGTTCTGAAGCTGCCTAGTTGCTGTTTTTGCAAGTGTTGATATTCCTTTAAGATAGGAAGTTAACTATTATCTTTGAGATACAGAAAAATGGTGAAGTTCCTCCCACATGTTTACAACTTTCACTCTTCAAACAGCACTGAAATGTCCTATGCACTAAATGAAGCTTTATCCAGTGAATCACTTCTCGTATAATCAGAAAGGTCCTCTTCCTACCAAATTTTCTGTTCCTTTTGCTAAATATGTCTGCCATATGATGAAACACAGGGGCAGCAGTGATGTTGAGGTGATTCATATTCAGTTTGCATGGACTTTTAAATGGCAATGAATTGTCCATGGTTTTAAGCAAAACTAACCAGTGCAGTTCCCCACGGGCTGACAGAGCACTTTTCACGTTCCCTAAAATCTTTCCATTCCCTAAATGTAAACATCTTCTCTCTGTCACTTACTATGCATATGAATACTGAAGGAGATACTTTCAGATCTTTCATGATTTCAGATTCCTGGTTTTTGGGCTGCATCACTTTTCTAATGCACGTACTCTCCCCACAGGGCTGTGACAGGGCAGAATTCTTACATTATCTCCCTCTCCACAACCTCACATCAAAGAAATGAACTTCTAATGCTTCTACTAGAAACATCACATTTGATTTCTGTTGTTAAAACAGCTCTGCAAGAAACACAAACATGGAGGAGGTTGTGGTAAGTCTGAAATCTTAGTGTACAGGTTAAGCCAATTGTTTATAAATAGTACCTACTGATAACTTTGGCACCTCCTAAGTAAAGAGCATTTGTGCCATATTGCAGACGGTCTTCATTACTTGTTTTCAAAGGCAAGACCAAGAAGAACAGATTGATTCTGTGTTGGGATTAGAAGAGGTACTTTTTGTGCTCAGCCTTGCATCCAGTCTCCTAGCAAATGTTGAGTTTTACACATCCAAACAGCTTTTCCTATTGCAAGAAATCAGTTAAGCCAGGGATGGATCTGGGAAACATCCACAGAACCATCTCATCAGTACCAATAGCACAAACTGAAATGAACACACACAGTGACAGCTTCACAAAATTGTGGGATCTTTGGCCATGCTTTTGACTGATGCCAAAGCCAAGTTCTCTATGAGAAGGTATTAACTGATGAGTGCTTATTAAAAAAATTCAGTGTCAAGTTTTCTGTTACAGTAAACCATTTGCAATGATTTATGCCTGTCTTGGGCTATCAAAATGATGATTAGAAAGGCAAAGGAATGGGCAATAGGTCAAGGAACAGACAGAAATTACTGAGCATACAATAACAGAAAACTCACTCCACGGTTCATGCACGTTTCACTTCCCAAGATTATTTCTACCTGGGATATGCACTGTTGTTCCAATGCCAAAAACCATTTGCAAAATTACAAGAACTATTGAACACTTAGAACAAGGCTGCACCCAGACTTACCTGGGTGAGTGGCTCAGGAGGAGGTGGTGGTGGTGGTGGTGGAAGGTCTAAATCAGGATCTGGAGGTGGAGGGGGCAAGCCATCCCCAAAATGTCCAGTAATGGTAACATAGGGACTTGATTTACAATAAACATCACTATCCAAGCCTTTTGAAGGCTGAGTGACTGTAGTTTGCTGGTTGCCAAAAGTTTTCTGTGCTTGTAAAGTTCTCTGTTCAGCATCATTTATGTCTGCTACAAGATCAGCCATTAAAGCATCCAGGTCTTTGTCCTCTAAGGCACTTAGGGATTCTGTAAAGAAAACCACAAAATGTGTCAGTGAGCACAATGCCAAACACTATGTTTCCAGTTCAGTGGAGATTCAATTGCAGAAGGCATGGTTACTGCAAGATATAAGGGTTATAGGAAAGGAAACAACATTTTAAATGGGTTCAAGAAACAAACATGTTTTAGGAATAGCCATTAATCTGGTCATACTGAAGTTCAGAGTACAAGGAACTCTATGAATACAAATGAAACAGGATGGGAAGCTTCACTTTCAGTGATACAGTCTCATGCCCTTATGATGTTACAAAACCTGACCCTGATCCAGCAAGGTTTCTGGGCACATGCTTAGTAATGTGGATGCAAGAATCCCATTAGCTCCCATTAGGCTATTTACTTAAGTACATACATAAATGCTTAGCAAGTTTTAGTATAGCACACAATAAACTGTGTAACTGAGGCCTAGATCAAGAATATCTTCATATATTACTACTATTCTACAACTCTAAAATTAACATGAAGCAGAATCACAAAGTTCTCAGACACAAGAAATTGTACAGTATCGTTTGTAGCACACCAGTAATTGTGATCAACATCTGTGACATACCTCATGTAATATGCAGTGTTGTGAGGATCCTTTAAGCAAAGAACAAACAAGACAGTCTCTTTTCAAAAGCATCTTATCAACCAGATAGAAAGATTGTAACTTTTGCTTTCTGTCTTCTATTCTGTCAGAGTATAAGATAAAATCCTACACTGGAACTTCACATGCAATTTCTTTGGTTGTTCAAACTAGCCATGGTAGAAGAAATCCTGTGGAATAACATCCTGTAGGATGATTTAGCTTTCTAGAAGAGAAGGGGTCTTTAAGAACCAACAGACTCAGTGGTTTAAATCACCTTGAAGAGTCTAGTTAAAAAAAAAATAACGCACAAATTGGGAAAGCTTTAAGTGGAGATTTTGGAAAGGGATGGATAACATGGAACTAGATACTCCCAAATGCTAATGTAGTCCAACAAAGGCTAGATCATTCATCAGACTAAGTGTGAACATGTCACTAGACCATCTCAGTTTACTCTGCTTTACCTGTTATGCTAGTAGAGTATTTTCATAAGATTTTCTTTGCAGTGGGAAAGTTGGCTTACGATGCTCTCTATTTACACACCTCTACCCACTTTGCTGGTAGAGGCATTAGGTAGCTTAATAGTCAACTGATTCTGGGACAAAAACACAGGTTAAAACCAATTCAGGCAAATGCAAACAAACAGCCCACAGTAAAAAGAAAGAAAAACGTAAGCAAAACCAAAGGGAGGGTTATTTTTATAAACTTGGACAAATTCCCTCATTTGGTTCGTCACACAGTCTCAACAAGCAGCTGTACATGCAAAAGTGACAATGCAAACCAGAATGAGAATAAGCAATGTAAAGTGGAAGCAGTTCAAGCCAATACTTCCACTGGACAAAAATGCTTATGCAACTCTGACCTCACACTGAGGAACTTAGTCTTCTATTAAGTTAAATCTTTACATAAAAAAGGTTGCATTTTAGAAAGTTGTTTGGAGAACTTCTCATTTTTGCTTTCCCTCTACACTGACATTTTAAAAAGCCTGTCTCCTACATAAGACTGAGCAATATCCCTTTAAAAAAAATTTGGCCCCTTTGAAGTTTTCTAAATTGAGACACACAAATATACCTCCCCCTCCATAAAAAACATTTTTTTTTTATTTTGGGTTTGGTTTTTTTTGATCAAGAGTGTTTGAAGTTTTTCTTCTCATTTGTTGCTGTGAGGTGTTTTAAATAAACAGTATAAGCATGAAAGAGTCCATTCAGCTACTTACCATTTAAATCTTTAAAACCAACTGTAAAGCTTAATTCATTGTTGGACACTTTGGGGGATGGAGGTTGTACAGTCTCCACTCCTAAACTCTGTTAAGGTAGAAGAAAAAAACAGGTATCTGATGACATAATTACTATTATAGACATTAACATTTGTAAATCAATTCCCTGATTTTGTCTAATGAAATAAATTCTTCTTCAAGGAACAGAATAACTCACACTAGTTTCTGGGTTTATGCCTAGACTGGTAAACTAAATAGGGCCAAGACAAGGGTTCAAGCACTGTCTCACAGTCATGACAAGCTTTTAATGGTTTGCATGCTTCTCAATACAATGCTGACCCATGCCAACTGCAACTCGTCAGGCAACACCTGGGCTTGGTGTGGGGAACAGCAGAAGCTAGGGCTGTTTCTAATACAGACAGTGGATAAAGCCACACTGATCTTTAGGTTTTGGGGGGTTTTTTTGAAGGGTGCAGGGGGAGGGTGTTGAAGGAGTTTAGCTGTGTATGCATTTGAGCTATGCAGTGCCACTTGCTCCAAAGTGCTTTATTTACCAATATGAATGTAACCTAGCTGTTGCTTTCTTGTGCTGTTTGCAAAAAAAAACCCAAACACAACAAAAAAACAACAAAACATGCTGCTGTTTGCAATGTAAACTGCAAATCTGCATAGTTAAACAGAGAATTTCTGGTTTGTGGCTTGTTGTTTAGGAAGCAGGCAGGGAACCAGAGTTTCACAAGTTAGGAAGACTGGAAGGAATTTCAAGGGTCTAGACCAGGCACCTGTCCTAAGGCAGGTCAGTTATACCTGGGTCATACCTGAAAAATGTATACCTAACCTGATTTTAAAAGCTTCCTATGAAATAAATTCCATTATCACCTCTGGCAATCTTTTCCACTGTTTCACTATCGAGAGCACTCTTTCTGCCATCAAACCTTTCTTATGATGCTCATCCTAAACTTCCTTTGCTGCAGCTGAAGACCATTCCCTGTTGCCCTGCTCTCCACGGACATGAGGAACCAAATACATCTTTCTGCTCTGATGCTGCCTTTGATGTATTTTAAGATTGTTATCAGTTTCCTCTTTGCTAGACTAAACAACCTCCTGCAATTTTTTCTTATAGGTCATGTTTCTTTTCCTTCTTGTCATTCCCATTGCTTTCCTCTGGATTTTCTCCAGTTGACCCTCCTTCTCCTCAAAATGCAGTGCTAACACTGGACACAGTTTCCCTGTTGAGGTCTTACCAATGCTGTGCAGAATGGAAGGATTACTTCATATATCCTACAAGCTATACCCTTGTTCATACATCTCTGTGAGATGTTTGTCTACTGGTGCTCATACTCAATTTGTAGCAGAGGCATTCACATTTCTTAGAGTTGCCTGAAACCGACAGGCGTTTTCCTTGAAAATTAAAGCAAATGTTTTTCTTGGCAGCTCTTTTCACCGATTCCCACCCAGGACATGTTGGTTTCTTCTGAAGTTATACAGCGCTGGAAACCAAGGCAGTGATAACTTTAAACACTGTTTCTGTTAATACTCTCATAAAAATAGATGTGGTATGAGTAAGGGAAGAGAGAAAAAATGAAGCACATGAGAGAGTTTTACAGGGCCCAAGGAAAAAAAAGGAGAAAAAGGGACAGCACAAAACGTATTGATGAAACAGATTGTAAGAGCATAAAGGACAGACTTTCTTTACTAATCTAACAAGAAGTTGTAACATCTCATAATGGCCATAAAAGTGCACAGAAAAAAAGAAAGTACATGCAAAGGGCAATTTAAAGAGAAAACAATTGAAGTGCTAAAAAAAAAGTTTAAAATGAAGTACAGAAAAATAGCAGAAAAGCCCAATTCTGAATTTGCGTTTATTTTTCTGCCTTGTTACCTAAGGTGAATGCATGTCTGTGTGCTATTGTTTACATTTATTTCAGAAACAGACAGACTGGTGAAAAAGGGTGAAAAACTAACTACAGTCTCATTTTGGAAATTAAGAGTCTAAAGGAATTAACAGATGCAAGTCTGTTAACTGAAAGTCTTCAGGCTTTCAGACATGCCTGTCTCCTTCTCCCATACAATGTTGAGGTAAGACGTGATGCCAGCACTTTAGAGAGGAGGAGTCACCAGTTGCCATCTTAGGAACACGTCCCATCCCACCCAGTACTGCACTGATGTGTGGAAAGAGAGGAGGCTCACTCTCTTACTTTCTTCCCAACACCTGCACTCATAACAGTGCCGTGTCCTATCTGAGGAGGTAAAATTTATCACAAGCAGTCTTTTGTTAATTTTCAAGGCATAAAAATGAAATTAAATTACCCTAAACCACTCCCTCTTTATATACAGATATAGATATAGATATATATAAAAAATAAATATGCATGGTTATAAAAAGCCCTTAACAAGCAGAAAGGCTACCAAGGGGTAGCCTATTGTGATTTGACAGCTAAGAATGTCTTCTGAAATCTTGGCTTTTACAGAGTTTAAGCATAATTCCTATTCTGTGGCTCAGAATTATTGGTCTTTAATTTGACAAGCACTGGGACTCACCAAGAGGAAAGACCCCTCAAAACAGAGGCTGTAAGCAATCAAACTCACACAGAATCCAAGATGACAGTTTAAGTGTTTTCAAGCATGTATTTATTAAAATACAACAAATTTATTGACTTTGTGGGGGTTTTTTTGGAAATAAAAATTCTCCTTTCATGAGGTTTTGCAGGAAGTATGACTATAGGTTTAGAAATAGGCTCATGCTGTTTTGTAGTTTTCTCTCAAGAGTGTATTCTGCACTGCCAATAATGTCTCTATAAATTCTTGAATGCCACCCTAGCTGTAACTTAGTATTTTGCCACATCTAAAGATTACTCCTATGCATATGTTCAAAATGTTGCTTTCATTTCCAAAGTTTACATTTGACACTCAGGCTACATCTCATTCACCCATGTATGCAAAGCATTCATACCTGAAAATTCTGACTCAAACTCTTCCTGTTTTGACAGAATCTTTCAATTTCTTGGGACAGAGTCCAGAGGAATTTAAAATACTTATTTGGTTTTTTTGGAAAAAGCGTCTTTCATAAGCAGTTAGCTCTATTTAACAATCTAGCCTGCACTAATATTACCTTACTCTTCAGGCCACTTGTTCTAAATATCAAGCAGAGAAATTTAGTTGAAGGTTTTTCAAAATAATGTAACAGTATTTATTCAGAGTGGAGGTACATGAAAAATGTAGAAAAGTTGCCTTTTTTCTCTAACACATAATACCTATTCTTCTGATCTTGATGGAAAAAAAGAATTATTTACCTGGGTCAGCATGTCCATCTCTCCAAGTAAATTGCTGAACATTTCATCTATCTCATCACATGTTTGCTCCATCTGCAAGAAGAAAAATCCACAGACAAGGCATCATCACAAGTTCATTTCAAAGCAAGCAATGGTCAAAAACAGAGGATATGCAATGTTCTTATATACTGTGTTCCCAATTAACTTTAAAACAAATGTTCATGACTTGCAACAACCTGTATCCATAGTTTAGAAATAACTACTAACAGATCAGAATTTCAGTCCTGTATATGCATAAACGCACACGTGGGCTCTACACTCATTAGGAGTTCCAACCTCCTTGTATTATCTACATTTCATATGAAGTCACTAGCTAATAAACCATGGTTGTAACTTAAACATCAAAGAAATATAACTAGTGAGAGATGGAGTGGGAAACAAAGTTTGAGGTTGAGAAATCCCTGAATGTTTCATCTTGCATGCTTTCTTTATTTGGCTTAGACAACTAGTACAAGAGTTTATTAGGCGTTATCTACTGCAGGACCTGGTTATGGTTAGGTACATGGCCAACTTTTTGTCTCAGTATTTCTCCCTATTTTCTTTCAAATACTAGTGCACTGAGAGACCTCCTGTCTTACCTAACCTCAAGGTGTCTGAGGGAGAGCACTGACACAAGGAAACTGGGTCCATGCTGCATGACAGTAAATAGTGGCTCTTGTTGCAAGAGGGTGGTATGAAGACAGCACCACACACTGGTGGTGCTGAGATACTGGGAAGATAACAGCTTCTGTAGTAATCCTCCTCCTCCTCTTTCTCATAAATTTGTTCCTTTGCAGGGAGAGAGGTAGTGTAAAAGGGTGTCCGACATGGAATGCTACCAGAGATAAGAGCTATAAATATCATTTTCTTAAGAAGCTCAAGCCTGCAAGGGATTGAGAACTCTGGTACTGAATGCATAAAACTAGGGTTCAAACTAGTGTCAAAGTTTAAACATGTAAGTAGTCCTATTGGTTCACTGCGTGCACCAGTATTGGGTTTATGCAGCAAGGTTTTGGTAGTGGGGGAAACAAGGGTGGCTTCTGTGAGAAGACACCAGGACCTGCCCCCGTGTCAGAGAGAGACAGTAGTTCCAGCTGGCTCCAAGATGGACTTGGTGCTGGCCAAAGCTAAGTCCAACAGCAACGCTGGTGGGACCTCTGCAACAACATATTTAAGAAAGGGTAAAAAATGCTGCTAAGCAGCTGTAAGAGAGCAGTGAGAAAATCAGAGAGAAATAGCTCTTCAGACACCCTCTTCAGCGAAGAAGGAGGTGGAGGACGTGCTCCAGATGACAGAGCAGAGATTCCCCCGCAGCCCACAGTGAAGACCATGGTAAAGCAGGTTCTTCCCCTGCAGCAGATGGAGGACCATGCTGGAGCAGATATCCGTGCTGCAGTCCATGGCGGATCCCATGCCAGAGCAGGTGGACATGCCCTGAAGGAAGCTGCAGCCCATGGTGTGCCCACACTGGGGCAGGCTCCTGGCAGGAACTGCAGCCCGTGGAGAGGAGTCCACACATAGCAGGTTTTCTGGCAGAACCTGTGACCCCATAGGGGACCTACACTGGAGCAGTCTGTTCCTGAAGGACTGTACCTCATGGAAAGGACCCATGCTGGAGCAGTTCTTGGAGAACTGCAGCCTACAGAAATGTCCCATGTTGAAGAAGTTTGTGAAGGACTGTCTCCCATGGGAGGGCCCCCATATTGGAGGTGGAGAACAGCATGAGGAGGAAGGAGCAGCAGAGACAAAGTGTTATGAACTGAGTGCAACCACATTCCCCATCCCCCTGAGCCGCTTGAGGAGGAGGAGGAGGTAGAAGAATTGGGAGTGAAGCTGAGCCTGGGAAGATGGGAGGGGTGGAGTGAAGATGTTTTTATTTTTGTTCTTATTTCTCATTATCCTACTGTCTTATTAACTGGCAATAAATTAAATTAATTTCCCTATGTTGAGTCTGTCTTGCCTGTTACAGTAATAGGCGAGTGATCTCCCTGTCCTTATCTTGACCCACAAACTTTTCCATCTTATTTTCTCCCCCCATTCTGCTGAGGAGGGGAGTGACAGAGTGGGTTGGTGGGCACCTGGTGGCCAGCCAAGGTCAACCCACCACAGCACCTTACAGGATGAGGACCAACCTGATGCAAGAAAGCAACCAACTGAGGACAGGAACAATGCTAATGACTATAAAGACCGGCAAGAAAAGACGACCAGCAAATATCCTGTTCTTCAAATTTAATGCTTTTCCTTTAGTAGAGCATCTTGAGTCACATTCTGTAGTTAAATGATAAAGGCCACCGAACCACTAAAGTCAATATCTGTTGTTTGAGAATTATTTGGTAGCATGTCTTTAATATGATAGCTAATACTGGAGCAATCTGAGCTGCTCTGCCTCCTTTGGACTTGGTCTTTCTGGCATCTACATCAGCAAGACTGGCCTAATTTCCACTTGTCCTCTTACCACCTGTGTTATCCCTAGCACCAGAACTCATTAGGAGTAGGTCTGTACAGTTTTCATCAGTCAGGCTCAGGGCATATTCTACCTGCTTTAGACTTTTTTTACAGCTGGTGTAACTAAACAAGGCACAGACAACTGGGAACTGGACTTTGAACTTCCATAGTTCTCTCAGGTTCCAGAAAGCAAAGACTTAAAGATTTGGGAACTGGATGCTGTTTAAGGACATTTTAATAGGATGTGGTGGCAGGGCTGGGGGTAACCCTAGCCGGACAGTGGGGACAACACAGCTACGCCCACGTAACAGGGAACACACGTCACACATGACTGAGCTCATGGAGAGCTAAAGTCATCTTATCTGCTTCATTGCCAGCTGACAAACACACACTGGGTGGCTCACTCTGTATCTATCACAGTTATCACATAGAGCTTTCTATATAAAATTCCGTTTCTGTAGATTCAGCAGCATACTGGTTGGGTAAATGATTACTGAATCTTAATTCATTTATTTGAATCAACAGCTGTGTAGCTTCCTACACACCTGGCACTTGGAGAATCAATTTGCATAAAAAGGATAGATGAAATGGCACTTACTTGATCAGGCAGAGTGAAGTCAAGATTTGTTAATGTGACAAAAAATGGAGCTGCAGTTCCTACTGACAAGTTACCTCATCAGTGCTTAATACTGAATAATTTTAAGTTTTCCTGTTTTCTGATTTAGAAGAACAAAGTATCTGCTGGGGGAACCTTATCAGCTCTATCCATTTGTAAGTTTTTGTGGGTTTTTTAAGCACTGGCTAGAACTACTTTCAGGAAAAAGTCTTCATACTGGTTCCTTTGACAAACTGAAATCCTGCTTTGCTATATTTTTCCAGAACAGAAATATAAAAATGGCAAAAAAATTACTCTTGGGTTACAACCAGGAGACCTTATCAAGAGGAGGAGTAAGCAGTGTCTAAAAAGGAAAAAAAACCCCTAAGAACCCTCTTCAGTAGTTAACAAAAAAAAAAAGGCAAGAGAACTGAATATTGTATTATACAACATTTTCAACAAATTATGGGATTTTTTACAGGTTCTAGTAAATGTAGAGCTTCTTTCTTTGCAGTTATATGATTTTTTGAATCTTCAGACACATTTGATTTACAGGGAAAATAATGTAATCCTATGAAAAAGCAACGAGCAAAGAATTCTGTAAGAATTTCCACTGTAAATTGGAGCTGAGTTAGTCACTGATGACTTTTCCTCCTTATCAGTTCAAATAAATGACATTTAATACTAGGGGGTTTTTTGACCTTTGGCACATGTGGGAAGGGAGAAGGCCTGAACATATATTTTGAGAAGGAAATATGTAAGTGTCCCTTTCAAGTGTCACATCCCATGAACAGACATCCATCATCATCACCAGACTGATAAAGCCATGTTGTCACCAAGCCATCGCCCCTACTGGTATCTTCTTTCTTCTCTTGAATTTTTCTTGATTGGGTTTAGGAAGACAAACTTAACAACACAATCACCAAATACCCTAAAAATATTTTTATGTTAAAACACACTGAATGACCTCGTAAACTAATATGAGAACTCTCCAAATTCATCAGGGATTTTGTCAAGAGCTAGAAAAGCAAAAGATAGGAAAATGAGTCCCCAAAATATGGAACTGCAAAAGAGTGTCCATCTACTCTCCTCCCTTTTGACTCCTCTCCACAATCATTTCCATTTCTTTTATTTGATTGACACAGTAGGAACAAACAGACAAAACAATATGCAGACTTGGGAACTATCCCATTCAAGGAAGATGATGTTGTATTTTGGACCAGCAAATTCTTTTGACTTTTATAAATAGCCTTGAACTTACTCAAACCAGAAACTCAAAGTGAAACCTGCAGGTGTATGAGCTATTATTAACAAAAAAGGGGAAAAGATTTACCAAAGTTCCCAGAAGAATACAGATTTTCATACTCAGTCCTCCTCTATATCCACTAAACAGTAACTTTTCTGTCAGTTCTTTCTGTATATAGTACTAATACTAGTAACATTTAAAACCACTATCAACTACAATAAACTGAAGAGAAAAAAATACAGTACTTTTATGCATAACATTTTAAGCAGAGAAAAATCAGAATTAAAATAAAAAGAGGAAATTGCAGTTGTCAAGAATAAACATGTTAAGGAGGGGCTTGTGGGAAAGCAAACATGTGAAACCTAACCTATTTTTAAAGTGATTGATTTTCAAATTGATGTCTTCCAGACCATTTTTTCAAGTAACACTAAGCACACAGGCAAATACAGGCAAAGGTATTCCTTGTCTTTTATTTGCCCCAAATTTCACATTCTCAAATCTTCATTGAGCTATCATGAAAACAGCTTCTTTTTTATTTTTTTTTTTTTTTAAATACTCCCACATTTCCTGTACTGTATATATAAGGGTTTGGGGCATTTTCTCTTTAGCTTGCTATTCTAACCACCAAGTCTCACTATTTAGTTTATGCATATTAAACTCTCACAGGTTTATATAATACATAAATATCGACTCATTGTATTTTGACTCATCAAAACATTTATTCACCTCACCATTTACCAGAAGTCTCCCAGACCTGCTAGACCTATTATTTTTTTACCTTCCCAATTTGAGATTTAGCAGCCTCTTGCTGATAAAAATAATTTAAATCTAAATTAAGAGACACGAATAACAAAACTCTTGCATTTTATTGTACTCTTTGTACTTATAGCATCTCCGTATTTCAGCTCACCCAATGAAAAAATATGGTTTCTACATATTTGTTCCTAGTTCTCCTTACCTGTTAGTGTCTGTCTTTTGTAGTGTCTGGCTTTGTCACACACTTTGTTGCCATTTCCAAAGACCTACTTGTATCCACTCAGGTGCCCCATGAGGGGGCCTCCAACCATTTCCTTTTCACAGGAACCAGTGGTGCACTGGATGACAATACAATACTCCTGTGCACTGTATTTCTAAACTTGGCAACAGACCCACACAAAGCTTCTTCCCTCTCCTAAATATCTACTCCATATTTGCCCTTATTTTGAAATTGAGATGTAAATTTCTACATTTTTTGAGCTATGGGCGAGGAAGTTGGAATTAATTTATCTTACTTCCAACACCAAAGAAAATTGGCACCTGCACAGAAAGCAAGCCAGCCCACAGAGATGGACGGGAAACACTCCCTGGTCCAACTTGTTGCACTTGCATGGGCAATGTACTTTGCGGACAGTGAACACCGTTTTCCCATGGGGATGATCCAGTACTAAAGTGCACCAAAGAAAAAACACTGACTCAGAAATTTCTGGTTCAGAGGCATGAATGGAGAAGCAGTCCTTGCACTCAGTCTCAAGGTGCACAATCTTACCTGGGTTAAGTAGAACCTCACCTGTGTTACTTAGTGTCATGCACTGGAAGCATTCAAGGCCAGGTTGGATGGGGCTCTGAGCAACCTGACCTAGTTAGCGGTGTCCCTGCTCACTGCGGGGGGGTTGGACTAGATGACCTCTAGGGGTCCCTTCCAACCCAAAACATTCTATGATTCTACGCACTGACAGGTGGAGCTGGAACTGCCTTTCCTGGTCTATAATACAAGCTCTGTAATTAAAATGAGGGTATGATTTCTGCATGGTTGCATACATTTTGATTTGTTAAGGTACTAGAGAGAATACTAAAACAACTTTATTCTTTTAAGAATGAAGAAAGTTTTGCGATTTGCACAACATAAGACAACAGCACTATGTCTATGAACAAGACAGAGGAAATGGAATTGTTTGATAGAATCATTATCACTTGGCAGGAATCTAACAGAACAAGTAGAAAAACAATGGCACAAAATTCACCCTGCTTAAAAAAGAAACTATTAAAAAAATATGAAAGCTGACAGGGTGATCTTATGGTGTAGCTCAGAAAAATCAGGCGTGGTACTACACTAAGCGGAGTTTGAACTGTTAGTGTGTGACAGCTCTGAGAATTACTGAAAGCCAGTCCCTTTCAACAGGAAGAGTGGTCTAAGTCACGTGGTAACAAGGCTGCTGCACTTGCAATCCGAAAACAAGCTCAAAACCCTTGTGCAATACCGAACAGGAAACACCAACGGTACCACACACGAGATTACCATCTCTGCACCTCAGCCTCAGTTCAGTCGATGCAGTTTAATCAACCTAAGGGCAAGGAATGAGGAATGGCATTGTATCCACAGAACAAAGACATACAGCGGATTCATGCTATGAACAGTATTAGGAAGCAGTCCACTGAGTGACCTGGTGAGCAGTTACGGACACATTAATTAAATTCAAAGCATTGTTGTTATTCTTAAACTGTCACATATGCCAATAGAAAGGATAAAAATACATAAAGTATATTTACACAGAAAGATCAAAAGCACACCTTCACCTCCTAGTCCCTGCACTACAGTGTGTAAGCATTAGAGTACCAAATGCACCAAAATGAACACCAGCTCTTTGAATATCCAGATGACCGCTACCAGCATTGTAACTTCCTGCTAGCACTTAACGCTTAAATGCTTTCTGGAGCAGAACAAAGAAATCTTTAACGTTTTAGAGGGACCCACCAGCAGCCCAATGATTAAATCACTCAAATCAGAGACTCACCCTTACCTACGGCAGACCATGCAACATACACCATCACATATCAAAGACAGAAAAAGAGAAGAGAATGAGGGAAGAGAGATGAAAGTGACAGAAGCTCCACCATAAAGAGCAAAGCTGGACAGAGGGTAACTGATTGTCACAGGAAACAGGTATGAAAGTAGTATAATAAAAAAAATGCATCGAAACCTAGAGGGAAAGTTACTGAGGCATCATTTTGTCCTGCCTTACAACACAAAAATCAATGGGATAGTAAATGAAAATGAAAGTCTGCACAACTGTTCCAGGGAAATGTACACAGTGTAGTTGTGAAACTCATCATCAAAACTGGTGAGGTAGCAAGCTGAGAAGTTGGTTTTCTCTACTAGCAGTTATAGCTGGAAGTGTTAGTATTTCAGAGCATTTCAGGCAAGGATGATGAACCTCATGTTTCAAGACTAAAACAAAGGCTCCACACCAGTCTGGAACCAGAGTAAAGTGTTCATGATACACAGGTTACACCATACCTTCCAGCACAGGATTTCTTGTACCTCCTTCTGAAGCATGTGATGCTAGCCACTGTTGGAGACAACTTGCTGGCCAAATTGACTGGAGGTCTGAAACAGATCTAACTAGGTTTCTTACAATGATTTTACAGTTAGGTGTCAAGAAAAACTCTGATTACTCAAATGTCTCTTATATACTTAAGTGAGGCAGGATGGAATTTCCGTAACCAGCTATTGCATCATGTCTAGTAAAAAGTCCCTAACAGACATTTAGGTCCATTTTTATGAAGTAGAATATGAGGGAACATTTATCTCTGGAGAATTCAGCCTAGAAGAATAATCCAATTAGTTACTAATTCTAGTAGATACTAAGAAAGGAAATTGAAGTTTTGGAGCAATAAAGTAGAAATGGCAGCTGCCCCCAAGCTTTCAAAATCACAATCAGATTTGGCAATTAGCATGTTGACTTTTCTCTTTTCTACCTACACAACCTGACCCTGTAAGTCTCTTCTGTTTTAATACTAGCTCATATTTTGAAAAGGATGGCTCAAAAGCAATGAGACTGCTTCCAGCACTGCACTTACCTAACATTGATAAGCATGCCATTTTCCAAGAAAAAGCCTGCACACATATATAACTCTGAAAGCAATTTCTTACTCATGTCACCTATTCTTCTTGGAAATCTGGTGTGCCAATGACTGTAGGTTTATCTGCAGCTGAAATTACATTACACACTTATCTCAGGGACGGGTGTGACATGTCATAACTCTGTTCATGATGGAATAAAAGCAACACACTAAAACAGTAGGAGCTGCAGGAATACTGATGCAACTGCAAAGTATCCTTCCTAGTTTAAGAGTAAGTCACATTTGGCTTTGGATTAAAATAAGGACAGCAGATAAATACAATCATGTGAGAGAATCATTTTCTGACGTTAACCTGGGGCACTAGAGCATCTTCAAGTAACCATGCCACAAAACCCACTTCTAGCATTTTGTATTGATTGCTTCAGACACGTTTTTACATACACTGGGGTACCAATTTTGACTCCAGTTGCCTTGTTATCTTGTATCACATTGCTCAAACTGACTCTAGCAAGACTAAAGGCACAACTGATAATTAAGCTTATAACTCACACTCTGGAGTTAATAAACTCCAGAATCATCCACCTGCATGTAAGTACAAACATCTTTAGGTAAGAGTACCCCAAACTCACAGATCCTACATCTGTTTCACAGAAATCATAACGATGCCATTTATCCAATTAAAACTCTCAAAAGCTTGTTCCTTTTTTTCATATTTTGGAAATTCACCGTTAGCTCACTGTGTTACAGGAACAAGCCTGCAATTAGGACTGATTTTGGAAGAAGTCTTTATTAGTATAAAAGACCCAGATTTCATAGACCGGAAAGCTACACTGATGCACTATAATGATGCACTAAGTTGTGTTTTACCCTTGTTTTGCCAAGATGATAACGATAATTTAAACACCACAGGAACTCCTATGCACGAGTACACCACCATCTTTTTCAGTGACACATAATTTGAATACTTCATTTTCCAAGGGGGGGTTTTTGTTTGTTTATAAAGCACCACAGGACACTGAGTCTGAGGCTGTCCTTCAGATGACTCTGCCTCAGCATCCATCACCTCTGTGCTCCCCAACTCTCCCCTCTCCCCCATGCACTGCCCCAAACACATACTCTCTTCTTTTCCCCACTTGCTGGGAGTGGTGTTTTAGAGAAGCAGCTGTGGGTCCTGTTCTCAGGGCGAGACGGAATGGCAAGATTATTGAATGGTCTCAGAGACTGGGTTAAAAGAAGCTGAGAGGAACAAGGGACTACCTAAAAGCTTATCCACAGTATGTAAAGAGGAAGTTTCTCAAGGCCAGAGGAGGGGGTTAGCAAAGAGCTCTTGTGCTAAGATGAGAGAGAAGAGGAAGAACATTTAACTGGTGACAGGCAGTGTATGCTATGGCTATGGAACAGGAGTGTAGAGGGATATGGCATGCACACTGGGTGCAAGACAGTTCATTCACTGTCCTTTCCAGAACTACTCTCATGCACAGACACAGTGTTTGGATCCTAGGCTCCAGAAAATGTATCCCAAATGTACTCCAGCAGCTGGGGCCTGTGAGTTAAAAGCACCTTATGCAAGGGAAAAAAAAAAAAAACAAGTGTAATGCACGAAGACGGAGAGGAGAAAGCTGGGGAGCAATTTCTTGTACCAGAAATTAACTTTGTAGCCTCCTGTCAGCTCCCAAAGGGATCTGCTTTTATGGAGCTTGAAAGCAGTGCCACTTCTGTTCATTTTGATGTAGTATCATCCCAGCAGACAACGTGTTTCAGTCTGGCCCATGGGTCTAAGAACATTACAGAAATACTGTATGGCTATAGACTCGGTCATCCTCTTTTTCCTTTTTCACAGAATTATTTACTGCAGAATGGTTAGTTTGGGGACTTTCTCCCCATGAGCCATACAGGCAGCACAAATTTTCTGTGAGAATGAAATGGTAGGAGGACACATATTTCCAGTCCTACATCTTCACACAGATTGGTAGAATAAACAATTCCCTATTCTGTGCCAGATTACTGGCACACAGGAACAAGACGACCATTCCCCCAATTTATCTTCTTCTGGGAAAGGCAGAAAGCTGGATGGAAGTGTGTCCCCTGAGTTGGATTCAGCTCATGAACCACCATCTGATCTAGGCTCACCTGTCTACTTCAGCTCTACTCAGGTATAAACAACTGCAGACATACAAGTTAACAGAAAATATGAATCTCAGATCTAGGTTCCTCCCATTCCCTGCATTGATGGGAGAGCAAAATAGTGAAAGAGTATTATAAGTCTGAGTAGCAGAAATATGTTCTGTTTCCACATTCCTTCCCATAATCTGTAGTTTGCTGATGTTGGTGTAATGTTTTCCTTCCCGTTTTTTCCAGTTACCCAACATTGCTGTACAGAACTTGCACGACAACAGGAGACTGTCTTATACTTTTAAAAAATGCCAGAAAATGAGAATAGTGCAATTATTAATAATTTTTTGATCCAGCAGAACGCTCAACCTAACTCCACCCTGCAATGGAGCAGATGGGGAATAAGCATTTCATTCCTGTTTGCTACTTTTGAACGACTCCCAGAATTCCCTTACCCTCAGGTCACTGAGCTATGGGAAGTATGTCTTGTGGCTCGCTACTAAATGAAGATTTTGATATTTAGCTTCACAATCCGTAAGGTAGGCTGATCCCACATGAACAGATTGTCTAACAAGCAGAAAATGGTAGACAAGGAAGCCCACAGATGAGAGAGGAAGGCATACAGGGATCCACAACGAGGGAAAACCCTTCCCCTCCCCAACTCCCTATAGAATCAAGAGGTGTTAAGTGTAGAATAATGAAAACAATAGCACAACATGGGAAGAGGAAAAAAGGAATGAAAAGTTATAGTACAAAATTTAAGCACAGGCACTACTACACTGAACAATCAATGGCTCATCTTTTCCAACATTCACTCCCTCCCACAATGAGCCATTAGAGGCAAGTGCAAGATATGCTATACGGGTCCATGATAGAACTGTCTACCCTTACAAAGTAATTTATTCCTAGGCCCTTGTCATTGGCAAAAGCTCTAAGTCACCATCTTCTCTCTTTTAATCACATGTTCTTATTACTACCAGAAATGCTTAAGGGAGGGCACGCACGTTATGGAAAAGGAAGACTGGAAGAGGAAAAGACACTAGCATAAAAAGTTCTAACAAGTAAGAGTGAAGCAAAAGGGTAAAAACAATCTGTAAAAATTTTATTGAACCTATCTGTTTGTTTCATACACAGCTCGTGTATTAAAATCAAATGAAGCAACTAATAGTTTAATATGAATTTATAGGTATTTCACTGAAATACAGCGCTCAGTACCACAGTGAGTGGTAGAAATATTAAATGAAGATTTTTTCTAAACTTTTTCCTCAGCTTTATTACCGACTGAAGAGTCAGGTACAATTTCAAGGCCCATTGTTAACTTTCCACATAGGAAAGCTGTTTCTTTCTGTCTATATAATACACAGCCATCACAAACAGCTATAAGCAGTGGGTTTCAGATTTAAGATCTGTAAGGAAAGTGGAAGCCTGGAGTCACCGCAGATGGGATGTTATGTTGGTATGGTTGTGGCTGCTTTGCCACAGCCCAAGAAGCCCTGAACTGCACAAAGGAAACAATTATGGGAAGAAAATGCAGCAAGAGGAGAATCTTGTGACATTTCCAGTGTAATCCTTCCATTTCTCTAAGGCTTTCCATGAGAAGGAAAAGCCTCCCTCTCTTTTTCCTTATGAAGTGGAGGAGGGATGGAACAACTGATCTGGTCAGAGATAGCAACTCCATCATGACACAGGGGAGAGAAAGGAGGTCAGTCCAATAACAGATATGAAAGGCTTTGCTGAATTTCATGGAAGAACATGGACCCTATGGGACACAATTGAAGTTAAGTTTATGCTGAATCCCTTCCTAGGAATGGCACCCAAAACCACTGGCTCATTTGTATTTGCGCTCTCAAACATTAGGTCTGCCAGCTTCCCCTCAGTCATGAACATGTGGTCACCGAAGTATAAAACTAAGCTGTAACCACAACAAGTATTTGGGAATGTTACCTGTGTTCATGTTTTTAGCATGTATTCTTACTTGCTCAGGGTTATCTCAGCAACTTAGGCCCTCCAAGCCACACGTACAGCAGATCTTCCAAATAGAAGATTTCATCAAAAAGCACAGTAAACAGTAATGTAGGCTCGACTGTTATTTAAGTGACTATTTTTTAAAATTTGCAATCAGAGACAAAATACCATCAACCTTCAAAAACACTTTTTGGGCTGATACATTCTTCTTATTTTTGTGCTTCAGTGAAATTCTCATATCACATGAGAGAACGGGGGCTTCTAGTACTGTTAGAGAGTACTAGAAAGTCTTCGAAACTACATCAAAATCTTTCTCTGAAGCAGAAGAAACGTAATCGTGTGTCTGCAGTCTGGGTGACCTGAATATGTGGTGAAAGTACCAAAA